TTGTATAGTCTCTTGGAGCGGCGCTCCAAAAACACATATGTTATCGCTGGAAAGGGCTCAGAGAATGGTTTTAGAGGTGTGTACTTTCAAGCCATTTCAGTGCCCTACCGGTGCGGAGCTATCAGATTCTAGTCTAGGAGAAGCATGTCGCCCTCACCGGTCGACTCGCCGAGAAAATGTGCCTTTACAAACTGTGTGTAGAACTTCATTTTCAGATTCTACTTTTTCTTGTGTCGGTTTCTTTTTAACAAAGTAAATAAAAATTAAATAAAAAGCAAATTCGAGCTCAAGAAATCTACACACAAACTGGTTACAAGGACTAAAGTATTCTAAAACCGAAAGTTTTGTAATGCCCGAATCTCAAAGTCATGGGCTCTAGACATTCACTTGAAAATATTTACGGCCACTATCCAGCGATCTCCGATGCCAAGACCCGAAGGTTTTTCACACTTGTCAGCCCACACCCACAACCCAATGCCTATGACACACACAAACATACACAAGCACGCGCGCGCGCGCGCACACACACACACACACACACACACACACACACACACACAAGACGTCTCTCCCGGCATGCTTTGGATACTGTTTCCTACAAATACAACAAACTTGTGGCAGTGTCTATTGTTTATCACATTCTGTTTGTCTTTGTTACTACCAATTACTCTTTATCATTAGACTATAATCAAATTAATTGTTCAAAAGTGAATAAACATCGTGTACTCTAGAAATATACAATGTACTTATTGTGTATTTCCAAACCAACGATTTCTGTGACATTGGTTTGGAAAAGAATCGATTGATTGCGTTTGCTGATGATACTTCCCTCGTTTTTTCGGCTGATAGCTGGAGTGAGGTTTACGCAAGTGCACAGACAGGATTAAACAGAGTTTTAGACTGGCTAGGACAAAATTAGGACAAAACACACACACACACACTGTGGAAATAAATAAATGTTACTACCAATTACTCTTTATCATTAGACTATAATCAAATTAATTGTTCAAAAGTGAATAAACATTGTGTACCCTAGAAATATACAATGTACTTATAGTAAATAAATTCTTTCTTTCTGTATGTTTGTTGCGGCGTTGTAATAAATTAATTGTATTATATTTTAGTTAAACGCCAAAATTTAAGGGCTTATAGCTTATTTTAAACCTAAAACTTAACAATTTTTGTTTTACTACTTCTGAACATACGAAGTGTAAAATAAGCTTGTTACGGTTTGGCATCAACTTTCCTTGCATACTGAACCATATTTTGTTTAAAAGATGTATCAACGACAAAGTACAGATATGTAGGTAGAAAAGAATTTTTTAAATATTTAAGAATTAAATCTAAGTTAAAAAATCCAATACATATTATTTGAAAAAGATTCAAGTACATACAATGTCCGCGTTAAGATTCGAATATTCATACTTATGTTTCAATATCAACATATATGTACATAAGCTATATCCAAGTAAGCTTACGCTATGTAAGTCAATGTTACGCTACCATAATATTATACTGTATTTTATGACAAACCCTGATATGTACCTGCTACGAAATTCAACATTTACGTATTTTGGTATACATCTTTGTGGTCTGTGGTTATATATCGTCGGTTCGTAGCTTAGAGGATGGAAAAAAAATAAAAGAAAGGAGCTGCCCTAACTACAGAATCAACGTGCATATAACCAAAATTTGTAAGTTACAAAAGGCGCATTACTTTCGTGTTGTAGCATAATCTATCGATAACTCATTATCGACATGCAAATGTATGGCTTGAATGTTGAAACTGTTTTTTTTGTTTCTTTAGTTTGCTGTAACCAAAGTATGCCTAAACAAACACAAGTCTAATAATTTAATCTCGAGTGGTGTGTTATTATAAATGTCAACAGACATTTTAAGTTTTTTTTAAATTTCTTTTCAAGATTACAACTGGTTACTTATTTAGTAAAAGTCACCAAACTGCTGTGCAGTTTGTTGGCGACATGCGCATTCTTACTTAATTATACCTACTTTACTGGTTTATAACATTTCATAGTATTAAATAAAATATAAAAATTACTTTAAGAGGTACGCCTTTAAACTACATTTTAGTACATATTTACATATCGTCTTTTAACTAACTGTCAAGTACAAGTCAATTCAGGTTTTTGCGGATTCTAGTATTCACGTTACTGGCTTTCTTAAACAAATTAATCTATCAAGCAATTTTAACTGGTAACTTATTTAGTAATAGTCACCAAACTGTTGTGCAGTTTGTTGGCGACATGCGCACTCTTACTTACCTTTTTTTTAACGCACACACTCAACATTGCCCTACCTATACCTATTTTACTGGTATATAACATTACATAGTATTAATTGTACTTACTAAATAAAACATAAAAGTTACTTTAAGAGGTAGGTACGCCTTTAACCTACATTTTAGTACATATTTAAAAACCTCGTAGTGAATTGTTTTAATAACAGAATATCGATAATATGTATGCTTACAAGATCAACACTATCTCAAAATAATCGTTAACAACAATCATCAAAATATACAAACAAACAGGCAATCTAAAGTAAGAAAAGCAAAATTTGACAAGATTTAAAAATAAACTACTTAAATAAGTCTAATTACATGAAATATTTGGGCTATTGTGTGATTTGTAGACTAAAAAATAACACTTGCCTGTGCAATGTAACATTCAATTGATTTGCACTTTTTCTAAAGCCACATCCCTTAATGCTGCAGCGTCGCATTTTTATTAATACCTAATTATTCTCACTGTCAATATTTTTGTCCACTTTAACTATAATACATGCGCATAATTCAATAGTATATTTGGAAAAACATTTGTTTTGACATTTGATGTACTTCCCTTTGACAACGGTATCATGTACCTCATGTACTGCGAAATGGACATGGTTGGCATTTAAGATGACGTTACGTATTTTCGATTCCCGTGTTTGACACAGACCAATATAATTTTACCTCTTTTGGCTTAAGACGGCACGTAATAGTTAAACAAAGACAATAACATGTTTATGTTTTCGACGTCGAAAAGCACATGCAATATACATATAACGACTAAATTTATATATGTCATTGTAAGTCAATGATGTCAACGTAACCTTTGTCGTTTGTTTAACGTGTCCTTTAGTTTCCATAGTCTAAGGTTCATGTCAATGTCATCTTCAGATGACGTAAAAACTTAGACTATGGAAACCAAAAGGCGCTCTTTTTAGTTCTGGACCAAAATTCTATTGTCTATGGTACTCGCTACGGAACTAAAAAAAATTTGTTGGTTAACAATAAATAATCTTGAAGTATTAGCAGTGTTGTTAGCGGTTGCTCATAATTTTAATTTACTCGAAGAAATAGTACTTATTACCTATATACAACCATTACATAATTAGGTCTTAAAATCTCGTACCTATTAAGCACGGTACTCGACTTTAAGAACCCTCATTACGCAATGATTGCATAAAATACCATTTCATTTAAATAAGAATAACCTGAAAGTTGCATGATAAAAAGTATGTATTGTTATGGACGTTAAAAAAAAACATTTTTACGTATACTTAGGTAGGTACTTTTATTTATTTATCTTTCAAAATTATACTGCCTGCGCAATCTGCAAAAAGTCAATCTTGAAAGCTAGCTATTTTTTAATGCTCATTATGATATACGATGAATTTGTTTTAATTTAGTTTCAGTTTTAATTTAGTACTAATAAAATATAATGGTTACGATCCTATAAAAATTAAACGATTCTAGTTTTGTCAATTAATTCAAGTGATGGCTTTCGGTTTTGTATTATTCCGTAGTTTATTCTATGATTCATATTATAATTAATAACGTCAGTTCATTTGATTTCTTTGTACAGAGGATGGCTACTTCTAACTTTCTTCAACTGTGAAGTACCTATATCTATGAAAGTAATATAATAATATTATCCCAGCCAGTTCCGGCTACACTAGCGACTGCTATTGTTTAGAACGAGACAATGTGGAGTTCACCGTTGAGTCTAAGTATACATATGTCCAAATCTCAGTATACATATGTGCAAATATATTGTTCGTGTTGACAGGTTTTATACATTTGTGTCGTTTATCGACGGGTAGTTTACTTACAGCATTATCTTTTCCGATTTATCTCCAAATTAGTCCTTATAATATTGAACAAAATAATACGAGGTTAAAGTATAGTACACAGTACTTACCCATTTTTAACCGAGTTCAAAAAAAGAAGGAGGTTCTTTATTCCTCTGTATGTTTTTTTTTGTAGGTGTGTATGTTACGCGGTAACTCCGCCATTTGTGAACGAATTTTGATGATTCTTTTTTTTGTTGGAAAGAAGGTACCTCAGGTGTGGTCCCATTTAAATTTCAAGAAAATGTTCCACCTCTAAGGGTGTAAACTAGGGGATGAATGACTGTTGAGGTCGGTTGTTTTAACCGGAGGTTAGGTTATTTATTTCAACACAATTGCAAAATTAACCAAAACGGAAGCAAATGAACGACGACACAATTTAAAATTTCAAGGGCCTTATGATTTTATACGAAAAAGTTTCTAATCTAAATTTTAGACTAATAAGATTTTATTCCATTTCAAAGCGGCCAGAACTTTAGAATTTCTTCATTTATTACCTTACACTCCTCTATTTTTGACCCATCCTATAAGTACCCATTATATATTAGACGTAACATTTTTGAGTGTGTACAATGTATACGTACCATAAATAGTATTCTTATTTTGTTATTGTTTTCAATGACGCACTGTTGGCAACACGTTCTCACGGACCACATGCGTTTTGATAATGGATTCCCAAAGTTATTTTCGCAATGCATAAAATTAGACGCTTTTGCAACATTATTAAGTTTTCGCATTCACTCGCTCATGAGCCGCTTGTACGCGCTTCCCTAACAAAAAACTACTAGCAACTTTTGAAATAGAACGGGAACACAATCAAATTAAAAGTGTTCTAACGAACACAATATAATTTTGTTAATACTTACAAAGTATGGGTACCGGTCGGCGGCGATTTCGGGATGTCTGTTAATTCCTGGTTTAAACAGCGGACTGCGGTTTTGACACACTGGCATCTCGCAGGACAAGGATCGCCGGCGGCGAAAAATAAAATGTTAAAGACTAGTAAAAACTTAATAATGTTTGGGATACCCATTTGGGAGAGTATCCCTTCCTCTGTCGTTGGTGACGAATGTTTGCCAGGAGTTTCAGGAAGTTTGGTTTAGACACGGAAATACACGGTCGCGTGGTACCGCAGCAATGTGCGGTGTAGTGACGGCGGCTGACAGCGATAGCCGACTGACGACTCCAGTGAGTGCGGTGCCGCCGCTCGCAGCTCGCGGAGTGTAGGGCACGGATCACATTCGCGTCTGGCAGAGCGGAAAGCGGGAGCGGTGCTCATTTCCCGCTCCACCGCCGCAGCCGTCCCTGCCGCTTCCCTTTGCTAAGGTCTCCATCAAATTTATAGATTCTATTTATTTTTACAGCTTCGCAATTTGTGCACCTATTTTTGTTTTCTAGGTGCATTGTAGTCACCGTTCGAGATTTTTTAAACAGGTCTGAAAATGAACATTACGAAATAGACACTTATAAAATAATCAATGGGCTGCGAGTCTTGACATATTGATAACAAAATAAGGTTAGCGACCTTACAATTTCATTAATGATTAGATAAAGCTGATGGCTGCTTTGTTATTACTACGTTTAACATCTGCCTATGTCAGAGTAAGCAAATTAATTACCATTTTCATGGGCAGTTCACATAATTTTCATCACACCTTGGATTTGTATTATTATATGTATATTTACAAGATATTGGAATGTTACGTTATAAAATGAACAGCTTGCATATGTAGATACCTTACCTATTTCTGCCGCCAAGCAGTAATGTCACTATTACTGTGTTCCGGTTTTGAAGGGTAAGGGTAGTAAGGGTGAAATTACAGGCACATGGGACTTGTCAACTTATGTCTCAGGGTAACGGGCGCAGTGGCAGTGTCCCTCAGATCTTTGTGATTTAAAGCTCTGAGTGGCACTACAGCTGTTATGGACAGGCGTGTAGCTTACCATCAGGCGCACGATTTTGTTCGTCCCGTCACTAGATATTATAAAAAAAATAATGATACGGAATAAATCGAATGCGCAGTCTACAACCAAACGATATGCAAAATTGCAGAAACTTAGATTAGATCATTCTAAGGTGTATCTACTACATAGGTAGTAGTACACTTATTCTTAGTAGTACCTACACTTCGTACACTTGTTCAGTCCTTGTTACTCGATTCATAATCATCATCCATAGCTCAAATTCGCTCGTGCTGTGAAGGCCTCACTTAGTTTATCCCATCCACCACTATCATCACACGGTAAAAACAGATTACTTACAAAAAGACAAAATTCTTTTTATGAAGACAAATTTATTAAATCCAACAAAACGATCCTACGTCGAGAACGACGCTAGAGAATTACTTGCTAATGGTAAAAAATCGTCTCAAAAGTGTATTTTAGTTACAAGACAGAAATATTTAATCCAAGAGCAAATTAACTTACTTCAAGTCACAAAGCCACTCTAGATTCAACAAAATATTTATTTGTTATTAAAAATGTCCGATTTTGATTTGAAAAAAAAAAAGAATGAAAAATTGAGAGGTACTTAATTATTTGACTGAAGATTTATGTTTTCTAATATCAAAAAGGGTAAATTTACAGGGTTATGTAATCAAACCCAACAGTATGTCTCACTAGCGCGAAAGCACACAGTTCAGTGTCAAACTGTAAAGTAGCAGAAATAGGACGGAATCTTCTCAAATACTGGAGGACCATTCAGTGCTGTATAAACGCTACATCGGCAGAAAGCACTAAAAACTATAAATATATGAGATGACTTTATACTATTGAAGTTAACGAAACGATAGCGCTTTTCAGAGTACAACTAATGCCATCTAGCAGTGGCGTGATGGAACTAATTGCATGTTAAAGTTGTGCTTCTTACAAGTGTAGTTTGATTTCATGCTGTAACCAAATTTCTTAAATAATGACTATAAATAACACCCTAACAAACTAGAGATACTACGTACTGTTTTTTTGGATAAATGATTGTTTATGATTTTTACGATTACAAGCACAAGTAAAAGTATAATCGTTACCGCGTGCTCCTTCAGCGACATGTCACGACAACATTGACTATGAAATCGCTACGAAATGTTGCTTTAAGAATATACTCTAGAATTTAGAATATTAATCTGAATAGCAAACTACGTCTTTTTTTTGTTAAAGAATATATTTTCTTAAAATACACCCAAGAAATTCTGAATTCATTTAAGATTATTTAAATTTGATGTAAGATGTAAAAATTTCTTGATGTAAGTAATGTCCAATTAATTGATTAGAAATGAAATAAAAACTTGAAGTGAACGTATTTGTCTTAAAGTTAAGAGTAAAATTGTATTAGAAAAAGATAAGCAGTATTTTTGTAATGACAATATTTTATTACTTTTAATAAATATTTTTTTCAGAATTAGCAAATATTTTGAGAAATTGCTCTTTCTTATTAATAGAAATCCTTTCTTTCTGTGATGAGCCCATCTCGCCCCACCTTTCTAGCTATACCTATACCTATACCTAACTCAACTAAAAGGCAAAATAGTCGCCATGTCTTGACATGACACGGTTGGGTGGGTAGATTCCTAGATCCATCGTTCTACCTATCTCGCTACAGCTTCAGTAATTTAGTTATCACCTTATTGCACATGCCAACACCACACCTCGCAATATGTTCTGTCCAATACTATTTGAGCTCCATTATCCAATCTCCTAAGGCTGCTAACACATTGATTGCATTTTTGCAATAAATGCGTGAAATTGCTAACCACTCTCGGCTGCATGACGTCGATATCGACTGCGTGCAGTTAATGCATGAAGTTGATTACGACTTCAATCACTTAGTAGTCAATCTGTTAGCAGCCTAAGTCTTGGACCTCTATTCATCGGCCTTCAAATATCGGAATTAGCACTCAGTGACACGCTCAGTGGCTTCCAGTGCAACTGTTAATCTGTACACAGCTTCCTGTGTACATTTGTATCTCAACGCTCAAACGCCCAAACCATTCAACTAATTTGTCCTCTCTCCTTACTATATACTAACTACGACGCATTTCATTATGTACCTGAAAGAGAACACAACAGGTTTACTAATACAATTATTCATTAAGTGTAATAAATAGTGGAAATAGCGTCCTGCAGTTAATTTCTGTATTTAATTATGATGTTTATTAATGTATTGCTTATCTTATGATATTTATATCAAATCGCAGTCGGAAACCAACCGTCGTCGCGACCGTCTCACATAGTTTCAATAACCAAAATGGTAATATTTTTAATGCGAATACGCAACTGTTTATTATTTCATATCATGAGAATCTATTTAATGAGCTTTACCAAAAAAATAGGTAACATGCGGTGTCAGTGACCTCGATCCTAATAGGCACAGCTTCTTTTTAATTAACTTCATTTTAGGCTTAAAAATTACATAATAAGTTTGCTGTTTTAGAAACAGTTTGCCTTTGTCCTATGAAACCTCAACGAAATCGGTTGATTTTAACGATTCTAATTTTCGTTTGACTTTTCGTAACACGGTCTAGTGTAATGCGGTAAGCATACATAAATCGCTGATCTAAATTGCACTAGATTTGGTCGTTCCTCTGTTTTCCAGAATCATATCCAATCCCGTGTACCTCTTAGCACTTCCATCCATCTTTCGTTAGTGTAAAATTTTCTAAAATACACATATAATTTATTTTAGAAAATAATATAAATAATTAGATATTAATAATTATACCCAATAAATTGTTTATTTATACTTTATATTTCCTCGCCTGATCCCTTTTTTCTTTTCTATCTCCAACTTCCTAATCCCGTTCCCATCCTAAACCAAAATTTACTTTAACATACAAACAACATGATAATACTTAATATTATGTTTCTTATTGCTGCTATATCGCCGTAAAGTTCAGCTTGCATAGAATAACAGATCTGCCAAATTAAGCCAACGTAAATTTGTATCAGGATCCTACAAATTACAAATAATAAGAACACCACAAAATAATCAATTATTTTACATATTTACGTTAATGCCTAATAAATTAACATGCGATAATTGAAATCCACCAACAATGGATACACTCACAGTTGGAGTTAATTCATTAAAAAATATCATTAGTGTTTATTTTCACAGCTTAACTCGATTAGGTTATGTCTGACGTCGAGTAATTTTTAAAATGTTGTGTGTTTTGTGGTGCCTTAAATTGTGTACTTTTGGTAAATTTTTATCCAGTGTGTATCAATAAGTTATGTAACTTATTGGTACACACTGGATAAAAACGGAAGGAACTACGGAACGGAAGTAAAACTGGAAAAATAAATAGAGACGCCACGCCTTCTCTTTCGTTCGTGCGGCGGACCCTATTAATAAATTATAATTAGGCTATCAGCGCAAAAGTAGTGCAACCCACATTGTTTTTTTTTTCTTCAATATTATAACTTAAACGATACTCAAGTACGTCGTCGCCCATATTTGAAAACCTCGTAACGCCATTTATAGACACTGATCCCTTTTGTACTCTACAAGCGCAGAATCAGGCAATTTAAACTTAAAATATAACTTCTACTCCAAAGGTTTATGCCTTTATTTTCGTAGACCGTTATACGAAATTATTTCTAATAATTCTGTTGTTTGTCTTCTCAAAACTGTCGTGCTTACGATAAGAACCGTAAGTCTATATGTATTTCAAACATCTTAATTAACTTACAGGATAATATACAAGCTCATTCATATTCGAGCATACACACACACGTCATGTACACGCTCGCGCATATACTCACACACACACACGCGCGCGCGCGCGCGCACACACTCACACATACACCCGCACTCTCTTATCGCACGCGCGAACGCACAACACACACACAAACTCTCTTATCGCACGCGCGCACGCACGCACGCACGCACGCACAATAATAATTAAAAATAGCAATAGTTTACTTGATAAATTTAAAAATAGTTGCATTATTTTTTATACATTGTGTTTTCTCAACATTTTGTTAAGAGAAGAACTGGCATCCTACATTACAAGCTTACGCTTAGCGTAGGCATGTGGTTTAGGTGCCAGTCTCTTACAAACACAATGTAGAACAGATTTTTTATACGCTTCTAATTTTGTACATGTATAACAATTATGTTTGTGAAGAAAATAAACATATATTATCATTATGTATTTCATACATAGGTACTACTGTTAATATTGTGAGCACGGCAGAAAAGTTCACATT